GACAAGACATCACAAGGGAATGTGTTCAGGTTGTTTAGAAGAAGTTAATTTTTCTAAAGGTTGTTAACCTTTATTTATTAATTCTTCGGAATTTTAAGTAACTAATTATAAATGGCTTATCGGTGTCACCAATAAGAACATGGACATATTTGTGATTACTTTTAAATATCAAGGGTATTTAAATGGGCAGTGGAAATTAATGATTAGGCCGTAATTAAATCAGATTGACGTCATCAGCCATAATATAATCTGTAACACGAAATATATATTTCGTAAGAATCCGATTGATATATTACCATTTTATTGTAATATTGAAAATAAAGACCTATAAAACCCAGTGAGCGGAGCTGTATAGTCGGACGGGGCCGACCATACGATACCCTACACAACTATCACGGAACTCAAATTTTCTGTGGATGTTTATTCCGAACCTGTGCAATATTTCGAGATATTTGCACCCTCATGAGGTGAACAGCACCTCTTCCTCACACTGACATATTTTCCGAATATTACGAGTATTCAGTACAACTATTGTCCAGATTCCCTTCACCGTGGGTTGTGTTGTGATGTTCGGCTTTCATTTGTGGTCTATAGATCGACTCGAATATAACACAACAAATTAAGTTTTCGATCCACTTCATTCCAAAATTAGTATCTGATCATCACCGAAAATTATAGGCGTTGTCCTTGACAATAACTGGAACCTCATGGAACATTTCAAAGCAATCAGCGCTATAGTTCCGCTCTCTAGAGTGATAATGGTTTACTAAATAATATACGAATACGGAGATACCTGTAAATATTTAGGTGTAACTCCCACATCCGAGCACATACAACAATATAATTGGTATTAACTTAAAGGTCAACCACTCCTCTTGGATATATTATCTACTTCTCGGGCCTATGTCCTTCAGGGGTAAATATATACGCTATAGAATACAAATTTTTCATTTGACCCGTTATCAAAACAGGTATGCTTATTCTCTGGACCGATCCGCTTCTCCATGCAAAAATTCGCGGTGTTTGGGCCATAATTGCGGCCTCTGGAGCGACCAGAAAAACCGACAAAAATAAAGTTTTTGGTCCATTTCATCCCCTAAATATTAACCGATCTTTTCCAAAAACAATGGGGGTCTTCATTGGCCAGAACCCATCCTACATGCAAAATTTCGTGAAGATTGGTCCATTACTGTGGCCTGTATCGTGTTTACAAATTATAATGGACAGACGGACGGACACACATGTCTAGATTGACTCATCTAGTCAAGATATGACGATCGGTATACTAGGACCAATATTTCGCGGCGTTACAAACTCTTGGGGCTGCACAAAGCTATAATACCCTGACAACATAGTTGTGTGTGGGGTATAATAAGGAAGATCTTCACCGATTGGATTTATCCTTGTTCATAAGATAGCTATATACTCACAGAGAAACGTGTAAAAATTTGGAAGCGATTGGGTTATTAGTTTTTGAGTTATCGTGTCCGCCATTCGCAAAAGAGAAAAACTCGTTTAAAGTTTGAGAAGCCCTTTAGCCGTCACTTGATGCTGATTCAATAAATCGGCTATATCTTCAAGAGCTCTTGAGATTTTCACTTGAAATTTTGTAGGGAGATTCTTGAATTAGTGTAGATTCGAATTAAATCAAAAAAATGTTTGACCCCGAGAATGGGCGGGGTTCCCCCCAAATTTATTTACATAATTTTGTCCCATTGTAAGAAGCAAATCTATGTTAATGGTCCTTCAAATATGCGACGTCTGTGAGGATTCCATCTGTTGAATATACCCAATGTGGTGAAGGGTACCATATAGTCGGACGGGGCCGAGTCCGACTTTACTACTTTCCTTACTGTTTTCGCTTATATTTGCGTATCATCCAAAATTTCAACTATTTTTTATCTTCAACATGATTTTCTCTGCTTCTTGACGTTTCGTTTGCCAATGTAGTTGTGAACTTTTTCCTTTTGGTTTGTTTTGATTGCAGTCGCCTTCGTTCAATGTTGGCAAAACATGACTTATTGTACTTGTTTGTTTTTTCGCATTGTTATTGTTGTTGCATTTTTTCGAGATGTGAACAGTTGACATGTTTTTGATGGTATTGGTGAGTCTGTCTAATTGAGCGCATTTTCTAGGTGAAGGATTTGAAATTTGAAAACCGAACACACACAGACTGTGTAATTAAACACACGTCATATGCGATTAAAACAAATCACTGAACACCGTCGTGAACGCTCGATGGTATCTGGCTAGATGGCTGACTTTTGTTGGCGTTGTAGTAGTACGTGCATGACTATTTGTCCGGGTGTGTGTGTGGGTGTATATGCGTATAATTGACATGTAGCTGCCAAGTTTTATGTTCAGTTACAAAAGGTGTTTAAAGTTAAATCGGGGAATAGTATTTGTAAAAATTCTTTATTTTAAAATATATCTGTGGATTTTTGTACCCTACACAACTATGTTGTCAGAGTATTATAACTTTGTGCAGCCCCAAGAGTTTGTAACTCCGCGAAATATTGGATTTTTATACCCTATACAACTATGTTGTCAGAGTATTATAACTTTGTGCAGCCCCAAGAGTTTGTAACTCCGCGAAATATTGGCCCTAGACCCACCATTAAGTATACAGATCGTCATATCTCGACTACCTGAGTCGATGTAGACCTGTGTGTCCATCCGTCTGTTCATTATAATTTGTAAACACGATACAGGCCACAGTTATGTACCAATCTTTACGAAATCATGTGGGATGGGTTCTGGCCAATGAAGACCCCCATTGTTTTTGGTAAAGATCGGTTAATATTTAGGGGTTGAAATGGGCCAAAAATTTAATAATGATCCGATTTGGATGAAATTTGGCATAGGTCACTTATTTGACCCACGAACGAACCTTATTGAAATTGGGAATTTTGAATTTTTGTCCGATTTAATGTAAATGGTGCACAAAAGTCCCTATATAACTTTCGATTTGCACGAAATTTGGCACAGCGTAATGAATTAGGTCTAGAATGATGTGTGTTAAGTTTCCTGAAAATCGATTCAGATTTAGATATAGCTCCCACATATATTTTCGTCCGATTTAATGTAAATGGTACACCAAAGTCCCTATATATCTTTCGATTTGCACAAAATTTGGCGTAGGATACTGTGTTAAATCCAGAATGATGTGTGCTGAGTTTCTTGAAAATCGGTTCAGATATAGATATAACTCCTATATATATGTTCGTCCGATTTAAAGTAAATGGGAAACCAAAGTCCATATATATCTTTCGATTTGCACGAAATTTGGCGTAAGGTACTGAATTGGGTCTAGAATGATGTGTGCTAAGTTTCGTGAAAATCGGTTCGGATTTAGATATAGCTGCATATATAGTTTCGCCCGATTTTAGGTAAATGGTGCACCAAAGTCCCTGAAAATCTTTAGATTTGCACCAATTTTGGCATAGCGTACTGAATTAAGTGTAGAATGACGTGTTCTAAGTTTTGTGAAAATCGGTTCAGATTTAGATATAGCTCCCTAATATATTTTCGCCCGATTTAAGAAAATGCACCAAAGTCTCCGATTTTGGTATATCGTACTGAATAAGGTGTAGAATGATGTGTGTAAAGTTTCGTGAAAATCGGTTCAGATTTACATACACCTCCTACATATATTTCCGTCCGATTTGAAGTTAATCTCAGGCAAGATTTCTTGAAATCGGTTCAGATATAGATATAGCATGGCATCCATATATAATTTCGACTTATTCATGTTAATTGTACACCAAATAATCAATTGGTGTCTGATTGAGATTACATTTTAAACAGTGCAGCATACCGAATAGCGTGTGTCTAGTTTGCTTTAAATCGATTTACCAAATTAAGCATAGGTTGCAGAATGACATGTGTAGGGATTGATGTTAATCGATTTAGATATGGATTTTTTTCCATCGAAAAGGCCACGTCTTTTAGGATATATATGTAGAATATTCCCAAAGTGGTGAAGGGTATCATATAGTCGGCCCAGTCCGACTTTACTACTATCCTTACAGGTTTACATTAAAATAGTTATCTGATTAATTCCGCGTTTTGGGTTTGGTTCTAAGACTCTGTTGTAATCATTTCACCTGCGGAGGATATCGAGATAAAAAAACTAGAACGTAAGGTTCGATAATGAACTATAGCCCAAAATGTAGGCCTAGGCCTAGCCCTTGGGTGGGACGTACCTGAAGGAGTGGACCGATATTCCCCATCTTCGAACTTGAACTAAGTTTATATCAACACCTAGTTTATATTTATGGCTTCTGGAAACATATTTTTTAAAAGTCCACGTCTTGTGTTGGTCATTGAAAAAATATCATTTAACAAGTGAAAGGGCGTTAAGTTCTGGCCCAGCAGAACTTAACGCCCTTTCACTTGTTAAATGATATTTTTTCAATGACCAACACAAGACGTGGACTTTAAAAAAATATGTTTCCAAGAAGCAATTTTTAAAGACTATTTTTCCAATAACTAATATTGACGTTGATTTTTTTTTCTAAAAACCAGTTTATGCGTAGATTTTATAAAGTTGGTGTTGATTAGGTGTTGATTTTTTAAATAGTGTTTCTAGGTCCACCAAAAGCGTGGATTTTTTAAAGAATAGGTTTTTAAGTGTGATTCATGTTTTGACGCCCACTGTATAACGTCTATGTGTCATCGGGAAGATTCAAACTTTATTTTTTGTGACTTGGCTTTTGGCATAATGGTTTTGTTTGGCGCGAATTTTTGCAAAAGTCAATAAAACTTAAAGAAAAAGAAGAAGAAAATAGAGAGAGAAAAACAAAACATTGTCATTGTTTTTGTTGCGATTGTTTACACCCGCATAAGCTATGGCATACACAACGTACGTGAGGCCTTGAAAAAAATTGCAGACCAACTACAACAACTAATACTTAAAAACAAAATTAAAGTAAGATTTTTTTTAATTTTTTGCCTTTTATTCCAGCTCAATTATAAAACAAAAAACCAACCGAAGAAAAATGTTAAAATCATTTAAAATTTACACATGCACAAACGGCTCCTTGGGTCTACACTTGAGCAGGGCACCCTGGGATCCATATCCCTGGGTTAGCAGCATACAAAAGGATTCCAATTCGTACAAGGCCGGCTTACGCATTGGCGATTGTCTACTCGAGCTGAACGGTAATGATGTTCTGGGCCTGAAAATCTCCGAGATTGCAGCGCTCTTAAAAAATCATTGGTTGAATGAAAGCAGTAATTATGTCAGTGTTGTAATATGGCGTAAGAAAGCCAAAGATAACTCCGACACCGAAGGCGAAGGCGAAGACGACGATGAAGATGAGGAAAATAATGCGGTAAGTATTATGATGTGGCATTTGTACTGGTAATGTATGGATGTATGTATGTTGGTTTGTGTGTATTAATGGCATAATGTCGTTAATGCATAGTTGCGATGTCATGCTGCTGCACACATTTACGATGTAATTCTTCTTCATTGTCTGATTGTTTCATGGGAATATTTGCTGTCTGCTGAGAATATTTTTGGTATTGTTATGTAGATTATGTAAAGGTGTGACAGGAAGATTTTATGTGGGGGTATTGTGCAATGCAATGACAATTAAAATCGATATGTTGGTGCGGAAACGTAAACGTAAGTTTTCTGAGTTATATTGATGCTATATTCATGGGTCAATATTGCTTATTTCTATTGTTGATTAAACCGAATCCGAATCCTTTTTAGGTTATGTGTTTTGATATTTGCTCATTTTCCAGGACATTTTCTGAAATTCGAAATCGTAATAACCATTGTTTGTAATTACTTCCTATAAAATATTCCCACATTATTTCTTTGTTTACTTCCCATCAAAACCCCCTTAACCTTGTAACAATTTTGTTTTTGTTTGTTTCTTGTTCATATGCCCACAAAGTGTCACTTAATTTCTTTGAGCTCATAAATAGTCATATTTTATAGCACGTACTTACTATATACATATGTTTTGTATATTAAATAATTGGCCAATTTTGCACAAAACAAAACGACGAGTCAACACTTAACAATGACCCACATTTGAATACGAACAATGATAGTACTGTGATAGCATGCATACACACATTCATGTGTGTAATTAATAAAAATGACAACAACAATAATGAAAACAAAACAAGCAAAAAATACATATATGTACAGTACTTTGGTGTTTATTAAGTGTACATAAATATATTCAAATAAAACCGCAGTATTCATTCATGATAATATAAACAATAAATTTAGTACTCGAAGCGATGCGACAATAATTTTTGTGATAACTAAAACCAGAAACAATAAGTTTTGAAAATTTCGAATTTTTGTAATTGAGCAATTTCTAAGTCTGTTAATTATGTACATAAATGTGTGTGTGTTTTTTTTTCTTTTTTTTTTTTTGGAAAAGTTCGGTATGTCTTTGTGCAGGATGCAATATTAATTACACATTTTCAAACCTAACTCTAGAAATCTACCTTACACAATAATAGAGATCCTTCTACGTTAAAGTTTGAAACTCCTTCCGTTCCCCAACTGCTATATGTAATGATTTGAGTTTAATTCTATTGAAATATTTGTGTGTAACACATACCTAAATTAAAAACCAGTGAGCGGAGCAGTTAATTAACTTTCTGAGGATGTTTATTCCGACATTACCTTCACGGTGGGTGTGTTGTGATTTTCGGATTATACTCTACTCGAAAACACACAAAAAATTATGTTTTCGGTCCAAAAAATTTTAATCTGATCATCACCGAAAATTGTAGGCGTTGTTCTTGACCATAACTGGAACTTCATGAAAAATTTCAAAGCCATCAGCGCGATATTTCCCCCTCTAATGTCGTAATGGGTTACTAAATAATATCTGAATACATAAGAACCTGTAATTATTTGACTGTAACTCCCACATCTGAGTAGATACATCACTATATTTGGTATCAATTTAAAGGCCAACCACTCCTCTTGGATATGCTATCAACTCCTGGGGTTTACATACTCCAGGAGTAAATATATATTCCATAGAATACAAATTTTCACATTTTTCACACAAAAGTCAGGGTCCATTTGACCCGCTAAATATTGACCAATCTTTATCAAAACATGCATGCTTATTCTCTGGCCCGATCCCCTTCTCCATACAAAAATTCGCGGTGTTTGGGCCATAATTGCGGCCTCTGGAGCGACCAGAAAACCGACAAAAATTTAGTATTTGGTCCATTTCATCCCCTAAATATTAACCGATCTTTTCCAAAAACAATAGGGGTCTTCACACATCCTAATGCAAAATTTCGTGAAGATTGGTCCATAACTGTGGCCTGTATCGTGTTTACAAATTTTAATGGACAGACGGACGGACGGACGGACGGACACACATGTCTAGATCGACTAAGTTAGTCGAGATATGACGATCGGTATACTTAAAGGTGGGTCTAGGACCAATATTTCGCGGCGTTACAAACATTTGGGGCTTCACAAAGCTATAATACCCTGACAACATAGTTGTGTAGGGTATAAATAGTATTTTTTTTTGTGCCACCACACGCGTTCATGTTTTAAAGAATATTTTTCTAGGACCACCAAAAAGTAGATTTTAAATTATATTTAAATGTGTGTGTATGTGTACAAAAGTTTGTAATACATACTTAAATCTATTTACGGTACAGACGCATAATTCCTTTTACAAAGTTAGATATAGTTAAATGGGAGAAATCAATATTTAGAAGATAGTAAAAAATTGATATTTCCACAATTCCCTCAAAAAATGTTAAGCCATATTTTTCATTTTTGTGGTAATACCAACAGGCAAAATTGTTGCATAGAAGAAACTATAAACGTACGATTACGAGATGACCTCTTTGGTCACCAATATCCTAAAATTTGTCACCATGCCAACTTCAGGGCAACGATAAATATGTAGTCTTCCAAGGCAACCCGGATTGAAAACAAAACTTCGATGCAAAGCTCACAGATAACGGTACTTCCAACTAATCATTATTTAAGAAATGTTGAGAATCAATGGTGTATGGGACAAAATTAAGAGAGAGGGAGAGAGAGAGCGTAACAGAGAATTGATCACAGAAAACGACAGATGAACAAGCAAGCGGAACAGTATAGGGGGATGGAGCCAAGCATATGATATCCTACACAAACACCGATCGTGGGTAATATTTCGCGATAATTGCACTACCTTGACCGATAAGAGGTCAACAACTCCTCTGCGAAATTTTTTTTCCGATTCGTAAGTTTCAAATTTTGTTATTTCCTAGACCATATCCGGATCCTCACGCATATCCATATCACACAAAATGTCCTAGTCCGCCCTTTAGTGTGGTAATGGTAATACCAAACAATATCAGAATACGTACACACCTGTACGTATCCGAGCACATACTACAAAACAATTGATACAGATTTAAAGGTCAACCACATCCACTTCACGAGTAAATACGCCATACAATGCTACTTTTGTCATTTATCACATAAAAGATTTGGTCCATTTGACCCGTTAAATATTAACCGATCTTCATTAAAAAAGTCATGCTTATTCTTTGAATCCCAAGATTCCACTCCACATCTAAAATCTCGTGAAGTTCGGGTCATAATTGCGGCCTGTGAAGCGACCAGAAAAACAGACCAAATTTACATTTTTTGTCCACTTTATCCTCTAAATATTTAGCGATAATAACCAAAAAACAATAGCGGATTCTTTGGCCAGAATCGGCCCTAATTGCAAAATTTTGTGACGATTGGTCCATAACTGTGGGCTGTACTGTATTTACAATTTATAATTGACAGACTGACGGACACACATGTCTAGATTGATTCAGCTACTCGGGGCGTTACAAACACTTGGGACAAAGCTATAATACACTTACAACATAGTTGTGTAGGGTATACAAACCGGTACTGAAAATTTCGGTTTTGTGAAAGTGGTATTTGTAGATTTTTGTTACACGTGGGACAGCAAGCCTTGATTTCTTTAAAATACGCCGGTCTATTACTATTTTATGTGTTTCTTACATTTAAAGATCCTTTACATTTTAAAGTATCTTACAATTCCAAGGCGCTTTAACTTTTCTGAAAACATTTCCAAAATAAGTCGTTGTTTCTACGTAGCGACCATAAAAAGGTCACGTCTATTTTTCAGGATGTTCATGGCCCTAGCCCTAACCAAGGATCTGTAATTTAGTACTTCGTTACATATTGACAGCAATTTATCATAGAATACTCCCTCTCTACATTCTTGGTTTTTAGTTGATTTGGTTTTGGTGTACTGCTATGTCGGGCCGAACATTTATACGCCAAATATAGGGGTTATATCATTTTAAACTGATATAAACTTTACCCATTATATTAGGATCTATATTAAAATTTTCAACATATGTAAATAAAATTATTTTCTACCACGATGATTTCCTAACAACCCGAAGGCGGACTGATATATTTATGAATCAGTTGGACAATGAGGCTTTAACCAAATATGTTCGGTCAAACGGGGGGCTACAAGAAAAAGTGGGTGGATATACGAACATATGCAAAACGTCATAGAATTTTTCACTGATCAAGAATATTTATACGTCATAAGATCGGAAATGATTATTTTGATGAGTTACAAGCGAAAAAACAAACCCTCAGTACTATGGTGGAGGTTAAAAAGGACTATATAAATGTATTATGACCTGTCCGCCGCCTTTATATGAGGTATAGTCCAAACATCGACCTACATTCAACATTTTATTTAGACAAGTCGTTGCACATAGAAAACACAGGATTCCAAATTACATCCAAATTGGATCGAAAATGGACCTAGAACCATCAGGACCATTTTATTCCGATAACTATCTGCTGCTATTATATAAATTAACTCCTGCTGTTGGTTCAGACAGTTAATTTATATAACAATAATTACATAGGCTTTATGAATATCTGTCATCCTTAATTTTAGGTGGTATGCCAGTAGTATCGCCACCTTCACTATTGACGGGTATTTGTGGCGTTGGTTGAATTATGATCTGTCCATACTCTACATATAGTTGTAGTTGATATTCTGATTAATAATAAATCTACAAATAATAAATATATTATGTTAATATTTAATTTTTACTGTTATGGCAGAATTTTTAATTTAAAAACAACCAAGCAAAAAAAACCATGTTCAACTACTTAAACTTTGTTATAAATAATATTCATGCTCATCGACCCAAATGTCCTTAAATGAATTAATAAATTCATTACCTTCATGAGCAGACCAGACCTTCGGTGTTTTGCTGTACCAGCACCAATCACTGCAACAACAACAAATAAAAAAGAACAACAAAAATAAATGAACAATAA